TCCTTTTGGGGAAACTGAAATGTGAAACATGCTCTGGATCATGTTTACTACAGAGATATATTATATACGTATAAACATTTATTTAGCTAAGCTACACATTTAATGTCTGGAGACTTAACTGTTGCTTGTAAGTTATATCTCAATAAACACAAAGGAAATTTTAAAATAAAAAGAATTTCTCAAACTTTCATTCCTCTTCTATTCTTCTTAAAGTCAATATAAAGCATTGATTGGCATGGATGGAGTATTGGGGGAAAATAACCCTAAAATATTTCTTCAGGTCCACCATTAAATAATAAAATTAAATTAATTTGAACCAATTAATGTTGAAAGTAAAAGTTCTGTCGTATAGCCATAACAGTCTAAACAAAGAGTAAATTAGATTATCATCTGCTAAGTGCCCATTATCCAGGATTGTTACAGAAAACTTATATGTCCTCAGCATCCTTCCCGACAAAGTTTCTTTCAGAGATAGATATATAGAGTAATTATTAAAATATTTCAAGGAGAATGAATGATTTAAACCATTGGAGTCTCCTATCATAAAGGGATATGTTCAAAAAATAGGATATATTTTATGCCTCGAAACAGTAGCATTAAATTACATCTTCATTGACTAAAATAGCTAACTCAGGTTTTAAAGGTATCCAATTACTTGTAGAGTAGTAATTATGTATTTGTATATTTTGGTTCTGCATTCATTTCTTCACGCTTTTCTTTGCTCTTGAATATCTTTCTCATTATTGACTGTACTTCCAAACTAGAAACACAACTCCTTTAAATAACTCAAATTCCAGGAATCAGAAAAGTCTCAGTTTGACTGAGCAAATACAAACTTTGTTTTGTAATAAACACCCTTTAACTATCTAAATGCTCCCTTTTTATAATCCTATAAACTGTTCAGGTAAAATGTCCACTGTTATATTTTAGCTATACTCGAAAGACAAATATCTGAAATTAACAACCTCCTAATAAAATGCATACTTGGACTATGTGATGTTCTCATGGTCACTCACACATAGTTGTGAATAACTCTTGCTAGAAAACTGTACCACAGACTATGTAAATATTTCACTCTGCTGGATTATTTTCACTTACTTTTTGACTTCATATCTAAAATGCCATAAATTATCTTCAGTGTAAACATTGGAACAATTTTCTCTAAAAGTACTAAGAATTAATGAGATGCAGCTGATAGTACCTACTGGAAAGCATGAAGGACAGATGAGCATACCGATAACAAAGTTGGCCTTAGAGGACGACTGCCCATACTGTTGCTCAATGTACTTTGGTTTATATGTCACCATGCCAAATAAAGAATTGAACTGAACAGTGCTTGCACACAAATATAAGAAGTACACTGGATTTCCAAAAAGATTCTTCAGTGATGGAAGAAAATCTATAAGACAAAAATAACATGGGGGTAATTAAAGACAGTGTTACACTTGGCAGAAGATGCAGCCTTGGCAGCAGGGCTTAGATGGCTAAGTTCCACTGTTACAGTTAACAGGAGCATTTTTAGTGTGAAACGTGCACACACACACACACACACACACAATGTATATTAAGCCATTGGTACAAATCAAGGCTGAGATCTGGCCAGGTTCAGATCTAAACATAGGCACTTGCTTTTTCAGGCATAAAATCTAGATTATCGATAGAGGTATAAGTCAGACAGAAACAGATTCTTCTAACTAATATGTGTAAAAGGCAAGAGAAATGAGACTACTCCCTTACTACCGAGCTGGGAGTCATAGGTATGACATCAAGGCCTTCAGTTTCATGGTCTCTATCCTTCAAACTTGGGTCATGGTCACAAGAAAAGGAATATGAATGCTATCTCCATTGAATGAATGAACTTTAGTGTAAGAAATAAGCTTTGGCTTTTTCCCTTCTTCCATTTATGAAGCCAAACAATTAGAAATGTGAAAATATTCTATAAATGTAAATATTGCTTGCTGGGGCCCTCCAGGAAGGAATACTGTCAGACCAATTGAGAGGAAGTAAACTTTCTCACGGTCACCCATTTCCACAGGGAGGGTATTCACTAGAACATGTCTGGCCTTTTGCCTTACCCCACATTCACTCCTTCCATAATTGTTGGGAGACATACCCTGGTACACATTTCTCAAATGGGTAGATCTCATCTGTTAAAAGGCCATAAGCCCTAAAGATTTACTCTTTTTTTTCCTGTCCATCCAGACTGATATGAAGCAGCAATCCTGGTTAGGGGCAGCAGCGAGGCCTAAACTGAGGAAGTCTGAGGGTAGGGATGTTATCAAGAAAGGTTACCAAAACTATGGGTCATGTTCTTCAATCATTTTCCAGTAGTAAAGTTGATTTTTTAATCTTTGTTTCTGCTTTCTGTATAGTTTCTGAGTTTTTTTTTTTTCTTTTTCTGAACACGTGAAGGGGAGAGAAGGGTATCATTTATTGATCCCTTAGAAAGTTTGAACAGGAAAACAAAGTATTTCAGAATCAAGGAGAATGTGGCTCACCTCTTGCCATTTCCATTATTTTTACTTTTTCTCCATGGGGTGTTTGGTAGTCTGTATGACCATCCACAATAAACTTGGATTTCTCCGAGGAAGAATTGGAATCCTCTCTACTTCGCGGTCTCGGAAGACTCTTTGGTAAACACCAGAAAGGTACAGCTGCAAGGAGACTTATGATTCCTGCTATTAGATAACCAAGCCACCAGGCACCTACCCACTGGGGATCCTTTGGGGTAATGGTTATGTGATCTGAAAAAGAGAGAGGATGGCTAAGTAGCATATACAGCAAAGCTAATGGGCTGAAATAAGCACCTCTTTAAAAAAAAAAAAAGCCTGGCATTAGTTCTATCACATCATAAAAATACTTAATAATTCATACATAACTTTTTCTAATCTGAACATTATTAACTTGCTTTTTGAAGGAAAGAGGGTATGTCTGGAGCATGACACTTTCTTCTTTTGTTCCTTAGATTAAAAGTATTAAGTCTAAATACTAGAAGGGGACACATGGACTTAAAACTTTGCTCTGAGGTTCTGCAGAGGGATCCTGGGACCCAGAGCAGGAGAAAAGCAACATGTGAGGAAGAATTATAAGGGTTCAACACCTTCTGACAGCTACCCCACATCAGTGCCATTTTCACCTGATTTACATATTGTCTAAGATTTTATTCAAAGAAAGAGTCACGTCCTGCACCTTGTGCCCTAAATATAGTCTGAACCACTCCAAATGCTATTTATTAAATGATGTTTAATAATACTTCAGAGCAATTTTAGGTCTGAAGCAAGATTTTTACATGTAAATAAAACATCAATATCTTATCACAAAAACTTTATTTTTGACACTATTTCTCATTTGACTAAAAGATAAGCATTGACAAAGATTTTTGAACCAAACCAAGTGTTATACATATATGTGTGTGTGTGTGTATATATATGTATGTATATATAATATTTTATATATTTATGTATTTATATTATATATTATATATAAGAACCTATAAAACATATTATTATACTCCACCTCTACCACATTCTGTGAGAGCAACAAAAAAAAGCACATGTTTTTTGACAACTAGTTTCAATTGCTATTACTTTATATTTGGTAAAACATTTAACTAGTTTGTCGCTGCATCGCTATTGCTCCCCCTTAATCATTTTTTCTCTGTACCACTCATCACACCTACACTTTCTTAACTATATCAGTCTCCATGACTGGATTTTAAAATTTAAGGAGTCAAGGAATTTAGCTATTTTGTTTACTGTGGTAAAACAGCACCTGGAATAGAGGAGAAGTAAAATTTTGTAGGTTAACGAATTAATAAATGAATAAATAAATAAAAATTTTGGAGCATGTTCTGCAGTTTATCTGATTAAAGAAGAACGACTAGTGTAAGAGTTTTGCATTGCATGTTAACACAATGATTTCAAAATGTTATCCCAGGACTTAAAAAAATGAAACATTTTCTTGTTTCTAACTGCTTTCTGGGACTTCTTTAAAAAAAAAACAAACAAACAGAAAACTACTATCTATTTTTAGGGGGTATATTCACAAGGACAGAAACAAATTAATAAGTATGGAAAGATGAGATCTCTCATTTATTCCCTTCACAAGCACTCTCCCAAAAGGAAAGCTAGTCTCACTGTATCATGCCTCCACCTAAAAAAGATTCATGCAATAAAGAAGGAGATTTTTGTTGCCAGAAGACTTTTGATCCTTGGTCTTTCTGGCATGTCTACAAACACTTTATCAGTTGTTGTGACTATAATAAATGCTGATACACCTGAAACCAATAAGAGTCAACAAGTAGCCAGAGCTTTTAGGTTTAACTATGGTGGAATGTGTTTGAACTGGCAAACCAGAAGTAAAAAAAGGATACATTTGAATAATAAACCATGGGTCATCCAGTTCTAATCACCATCTATTTTTTCTATTCCATTTTATCAATAACAAGTTTTTCACAGATTATTTTCATTTTATGAACGATTACCATCCTGTCATTTTATAAAAAGGCATTTTGATATTTTCTACACTTTTCCATTAAAAAATTACAGTAACTAAAATAAATGAATAAAAATAAGTTCCCTTACCTAGGTTTACAAAGCCAATGTCAACATACAGTTTGGCACATAATGAACCTAACAGGAAGCCAAAGATCGGTCCTATAATTGCAACCGTCTGCACACACCCTGCACCAAAAAATAATTTTAATTAAATTAAAAATTAAATTTAAAAAGCAAGGTACTATTTCTTTGCATTTGTAAATTAATAAAGTTTTAAAGAAGAAATGTGAATGAGATCTAGTTAGTAGCTGAAAATATTTCATCAACTCTTTACTTAAGTGTACTTAATTTGTCAGTTTTTCAACTTCATTGAATTAGGAAATAAGTCCTTCTCAGCTGTGGAAGAAGAATGAACACTTTCAAGGCCTTAATTACCTCTGAGCAAGAAAATAATGTCAGGACTCTGAAGAAGCTAATTTCCCAAAATGGAGTAACTTTTACTCCCTAGGATTAGATTCCTCCACTGATAAAAATCAGAATTATACTATTTGACAGTCTTTCAAAAAACTTTTTATGGTTGGTTAAGCATAAGACATGCTTTGATATTAAAAGTGATTTCTTCCACCTTAGTGAAAAAGTATATGTATTCAGAGCTTCTGTGGACCCATTCGTGAGAGCAATAACTATGGAGATAACTATAGATCACCGCATACTTCTGTGGTACAGTTAGCCCAATAAAAATAACTGATGACATCTGAAATCCATGACGATAAATTGTCATCATTGTCATCATTGCAGTTGAGCTCACAGTTATTTTCTTTTAATCATTGTCATCGTTGTCATCATTGTAGTTGAGGTTACAGTTATTCTTTTAATCT